GTCTATAAAATTATACCGTAATGAGAAAAAACATTTAAAAAAAAAAATTCGATTTTTGACGGTTTTTGAAATTTTGAAAAATTTGGAGTAACCTCTTAAAAGTTTTTTTTTGAGCTGTCCTTCGGTGAGGGCTCTTAAAACATAAAAAACTAACATTTTTTCACTCGAAACTAAAAAAAAAAATAGTCGGTTTTTTTGTGCCACCCTATTAAATAGTTTTGTAAATTTTCAACATTATTGGTTATTAATATAAATTTATATAAGAACATTATTTTTGAACATAATAAAACCCAGACGAGTTAAAATAAACGATTAAAATTCTATAATAAAATGAATATTGTTAAAAATCTGTTTTAATATATAATTAATAAATATTAAATTAAATTAATAAAAAAAAAATTGTTTTTATGTTTAAAATATAATTTTAATGAATAAAACTTAACTTTATAAAAATGCAGGTGTAGTTTGTCGAAAATTAAGTAAATTTTATGTATTGTTTAAGTAAAGTAAGCTTATAAACTGGATATAAATCCAAAAAAAAAAAAAATTATTTAGAAAAAAATTGATAACTTGGTACGAAATAAAAAAAATGGAATTTTAAATTAATGCAGGTGTAGATTTGGGTGTAATAAAGACTTGCATTTTTTTATTTTTCCTAAATTTTTTTTTTTTTTAATTTTTATTGCTTGTACAACATTCTAGTAATAAAAAAAAAAAAAAAAATTAAATGCAGGTCTAAATTTATTAAAAAAAAAGGTAAGTACTCAATTTTAGATTTTTTTATCTAAAAGTGTTGATTGGAGCACTCGTAAAAGTTTTATTTCCAAAATTTCATCGAGAAAAAAAAATTGTATTTTATATACGAATGAATGCATTTGTAAGAATTTGAAAAACGAACAACTGCAAATTTTTTAATTTGTCAAAATCGATTTCCTCGCTGAGATATCGATTTTTAAAATCTTCGATTGTCGGTTGTCGGCTAAGTTCACACTCATAAATATTAAATACTTTATTACATAGTATTTTTATCAGAGAGTTTAAGATTTATCAGTAATGGATTTAGCTAAGTCGTTGTTTAATGTTAGGGATCACGAAGGTTATGTAGGAAAAGAAGATCACAATGTAAGTATTATTAAAAAACAATTATGAGACTACTTAGCAAGACACTTGACAGTTTTTTAATTTTTTTTAACTAAAAAATTTGTTCCAAAAAATTATTTAAAAAAAATTGCATTTACAATTTTTTTATGACATTAAATTTAGCTGTCACTTGACCATTTTTTATTTTTTTTTAACAAACAAATTTCCAAAAGATTGCATTTTTAATTTTTTAAAATTTCTACCTCAATTTTTTTTTTTTTGCAATAATTTATTTCTTTAAAAAATTATCAAACATCTGCTAAATTAATTTTGATAATTTTTTTTAGAGTTTCTAAAGATGGAATTTTAAAAAAAAATTTTTCTCGCTACAATTTATTTATTAAAAAAATTGATTCAACATATATTTAATAATTTTATAACAAATAAATTATGGGAAAAAATAAAAAATCCAATTTTTTAAAAATAATTTTTAAACTTTAACTTTAATGTCATAAAAAGTGATGAGATGTTTTTCAATATCATAATAATACTAAAGTTAGCCTTTAATTTAATTAATTAATTAAATTAATTTTTTAATTATTTTTTATCTATTAAATTAGAACTAAAAAATATTTTTAAAAAATTGCACTTATAGTTTTTCAAGTTTTTTACAAATTAAAATTTTTTTTTAATGAATTTTTCAATAAAAAAAAATTCTAAAAAAATTTTAGATGTCGGCTAACTCAATTTTCATTATATTGTAAAAAAATCTTACAAAAAAAACTAACTTAAAATTTTTTTCTAGAAAAAACTTGAAACACTTGGGTCTGAAGATGAGTACGACGGAGATTTTAATGAATCAAGTGAAGACCTGATATCTCCAGTACCAGGAGGCCCGTTTTCAGCTCTGACACCGTCCATGTGGCCGCAAGATATCCTAGCAAAGCTGAACCAACCTGAAGACCCAAATTCTCAACCAGACTACAGGTTCGACGAGTTTGGCTTTCGAGTCGAAGAAGAAGACGGCCCTGAACAGAGTTCTAAAAAACTCCTGGGAGTGCCATTCGTCGAGGACCCACAGCACAGACAACAATGGCTGACCCTAATGGAGTTCAGTCGTTCCCAAGAAATCCCAGAAACTCTGTGGCACCGAACAGACCAGCGTCTGCCCAGAACTGACAAGCTCAGAGAGATGGTGAGACGTGGAATTCCTCACTCACTTCGTCCGAGAATCTGGATGAGGATGTCCGGAGCTCTGCATAAAAAAATATCCTCAGACATGAGCTACAAGGATATCGTAAAAGCATCAAGCAGCGACGCGTTGATGACCAGTAAACAAATAGAGAAAGATTTACTGAGGACTATGCCAGCGAATTCCTGCTTTAGCAATTTACATAGCACGGGAATCCCAAGATTGAGGCGAGTAATGCGAGGCTTGGCTTGGCTCTACCCGGACATTGGCTACTGCCAAGGAACAGGAACTATGGCCGCGTCTCTGCTGCTTCTGTTAGAAGAAGAAGATGCGTTTTGGATGATGGCTACGATTGTGGAAGACTTGCTGCCTGCTTCTTATTATTCTTCTACACTTCTAGGGGTTCAAGCAGACCAAAGAGTCCTGAGGACACTTATCGCTAATTACTTACCTGACATTGATCATGTTTTGTCGCAGCATGATATAGAATTAAGCTTGATCTCTCTTCACTGGTTCTTAACTCTCTTTGCTTCAGTTGTCCACATGAAAATTCTGCTGAGAATCTGGGACTTGTTTTTATTTGATGGATCGATAGTTTTATTCCAGGTGAATAACATTAAATTTAGCTATCAATTCACAATTTTTTTTGCTATAATTTATTTATTAAAAAAATTATCAAATATCTGCTAAATTAATTTTCACGTTAAATTGCACTGTACTTTCTTAACTATTGACATTTTTAAAGATATAAGCTCATCCTGATGTTACACTCATGAAGAGCTTTCATTTGAGTACCCACATGCATTTTTATATATTTTTCATATATACATATATATAATATATATGAAATATATGAAAAATTTATGTGGGTACTCAAATGAAAGGTCTCAATGAGTGTAATGTCGGGATGAGTTTATATCTTTAAAAATGTCAATAGTTCTCAAGATACAACGTCATTTCTTAATAATGTTAAATTGCACTGTACTTTCTTAATTACTGACTTTTTTAAAGATATAAGCTCATTCTGACGTTACACTCATCAAGAGCTTTCATTTGAGTACCCACATGCATTTTGATATATTTTTCATATATACATATATATAATATATATGAAATATATGAAAAATTTATGTGGGTACTCAAATGAAAGGTCTCAATGAGTGTAATGTCGGGATGAGCTTATATCTTTAAAAATGTCAATAGTTAAAAAAGTAGAGTGCAATTTAATGTCAATAGTTCTCAAGATACAACGTCATTTCTTAATAATGTTAAATTGCACTGTACTTTCTTAATTACTGACTTTTTTAAAGATATAAGCTCATTCTGACGTTACACTCATCAAGAGCTTTCATTTGAGTACCCACATGCATTTTGATATATTTTTCATATATACATATATATAATATATATGAAATATATGAAAAATTTATGTGGGTACTCAAATGAAAGGTCTCAATGAGTGTAATGTCGGGATGAGCTTATATCTTTAAAAATGTCAATAGTTCTCAAGATACAAGGTCATTTCTTAAGTATATATCTGGAGATAAATTATCAAATATCTAAATTAATTTTCATTCCAGGTGACCTTCGGCATGCTGAAAATCCGAGAGTCGGAGCTAAAATTACTAGAAAATTCAGCGCAAATTTTCAATGCGCTGTCTGACATTCCAGGAGACATTGATGATGTAGACCAATTATTTGAAGTTGCACTGGAAGTCAGTGGATCTTTGACAGATGTCCTCATTGAGACACACAGGCGACGGCATCTAGCCTACCTAATGGCTGACCAGGGTGGCCTGGTTGGTAATCCTGATGCAGTACCCAATTTACCAAAGCAACACCTCAATAAGCGGCAAATGAAGCGCAACAAGTCGGTCCTCCAGACATTTTTATTCGGCAGCGACGACAGCGAAGAGGATGCTAAGTCGAAAAATATAAGACAGACGGAAATTCTGGTTGATTTAAGAGAAACTATCTTACAATTAGCAAGACACTTCATCAATGTGGATCCTAAATTGACTAATGTGTCGTTAATTGCTGACTACACCATGGAGAGCCACTCGAAGGACCATGATAATTATGTCAATGTCTCGCGGACTCGTAATAGACGAGCTAAAGCGTTGCTGGACTTTGAGAGACACGATGATGATGAACTGGGGTTCAGAAAAAATGATATCATAACTATTATTAGTCAGAAGGATGAGCATTGCTGGGTTGGTGAACTGAATGGACTTCGCGGCTGGTTTCCGGCTAAGTTTGTTGAGCTGCTGGACGAGAGGAGCAAACAATACACGTGCGCTGGAGATGATGCTGTTAGTGAGGCAGTCACTGATCTTGTTAGAGGCAGTCTCTGTCCGGCTGTTAAGGCTTTTCTTGAACACGGGATGCGTCGGCCGTCTTTCCTTGGGGGCTCTTGTCATCCCTGGCTGTTTATTGAAGAAGCTTCTACTCGGGAGGTTGAGAAAGATTTTAATTCGGTCTACAGCAGGCTTGTTCTTTGCAAGACTTATAGGCTTGATGAGGACGGCAAAGTTCTTACGCCAGAAGAGGTTTGTTTTTTTTTTTTATTAATTATTAAATAATTTTTTTTAATGCTGTTAAACTAATTGTTTAATTTTTTTTTTATTAGTTACTTTATCGCTGCGTTCAGGCTGTTAATTTAACCCACGATAACGCTCATGCACAAATGGATGTTAAACTCCGGTCGCTAATTTGTTTGGGATTAAATGAACAAGTTTTGCATTTATGGCTTGAGGTTTTATGCTCTTGTGTTGAAATTGTGCAAAAGTGGTAAGTGATCTAAAAAAAAATCTTTGATTTGATTTTATTTTATTATTATTATTATTATTATTATTTTATAGGTATCAACCATGGAGTTACATTAATAGTCCAGGCTGGGTTCAAGTCAAATGCGAATTAAGAATTCTTAGTCAATTTGCATTTAATTTAAATCCTGACTGGGAATTACCAAGAAAAAAAGAACAATCACAACCCTTAAAGGATGGTGTTCGCGATATGCTTGTTAAACACCACCTTTTTTCTTGGGATCTGTGAGTTATTATTTATTTTTTTCTGGAAATTTATCTTAATCACAGTTTATTTATTCATCATTTTATTCTCATATTTTAATTAAATATTGTGGATTAATTAATTAGTTAACAAGATATTTGAGTACCTGCAAGAGCACACGCATCCATAACAATGATAATAAATCCTAATAAGGATTTTTTTAATAAGATTTTTTATTTAATAAACCAAAGATAGAACAGATAAACTTAATAGATCAATATTTTATTAGATAATTTTTTCCGTCCTTTTATCAGATTTATAAAAATTGTTCACCAATAAAAAATAAATTTTCATTAAATTTGAGGTTTAGGCTTATAACATTGATGTTATAAATAATTAAAACTATACTTTAACTTATTAGTTTAAATTATTGCTATTATAAACTGTTGAATAAATTCAGAATTTTTATCTTATTGAATAACAAATATTATGTAAAAAAAAATCAATGTATATACAATATGTTAATTTGATTGTATGATTAATTTTATTTATCTCAATCTTATAGATAACGTGAGAAAATGGTGTGAATAAAAAATTTTTTCAACTATTAAATTTGTTAATTACATTCTCCTATTTTTTTTTATGTATATAGATTCAAAAAATAGATCATTTTATACCTTGCATGAAATAAAAATAATTTTTTTTTTTAATATTTTTTTAATAGTTTTTGAGAAATAAAAATATTTCTTTGAATAAAAAATATGAAATTTATATTATAAATAAGAAAAAAAATTTTTTAATTGAATATTTTCATAAAAATAATTATTTACAAAGTAAATTATATTACACGTAATTTTTATTACCTTTAATAATAATTCTAACATAATTTATAAAATATGAATTTGACTTACTATAACAAATCATTAAAAAAATCATGATCCTCCAAAGAAACCCTAATTTTATTACCACTTTCTTCAATTAAATTTTTTTTTTTAATATAAATAAAATGTAAGTCCATAACATTAGTACCAGTGAGTCCAGTTTTTACCAAATCATTCCCTTTATTAAATCTAGAATAAAAATTATAAGAATCATTATTCTCCAAAACCTTCCCAACATCAACATGTTCCATCTCTTTCTCAACAAATTCTCTAGTACTCATGATTTCATCCTCAGCTTCATTTAAAAATTTACTCTTCATCAATTCCACTAATTCATTTGCCACCGAATAGATCTCAGCGTAACCAAATGCGCCAGTAGCATCAGTCGGGCCATCCTGACCATCCGTGCTAACACTCAGCAATACCACATCAAATAACTTAACCAGTTTCTCATACTCAGCAATTTTAAACCAGTCTCGCGAAAATCTCAAAGCAAGTTCTTGATTTCTTCCTCCTTTTCCCGATCCGGTTACGAGCACCGAAGGTTCTCCACCCGCAATAAGAACCAATCCTTCCTCAACGTCTTTAGTAGCTTGATAAATTTCTCCTGCTTTGCTGCTTAGCAATAATAAATCAGGATCATTTTTAATCAACTCGTTGAAATTTTCTATTGAAATTGATTCGTAAAAAGTTTTACAAATTAAGCTAGATAATTTAGCGTACATTTTACTAATTTGTGTAATTAGTCCTTTAATATTAATAAATAATATTACAGAAGTTAATTTTTTGCGCGTGCATTCTAGCTTTGCATTTTCAATTGCTAATAAATTGTTGCCAATAATAAAATTTTTAACGTGATTTATTCCTTGCTGAGAAATTATTGGGTCAGAAAAAAGAATTATTTTTAAATTATCACTCAATTGATTCAAAAGATTGTATTTTATAAATATTTTTTCAATAATATCAACTTGTATTAAATTATTGACTGTAGGTCCACTAGCAATTAATTCCATTGGATCATCAATAATATCTGATAATATTAATCCAATTACAAAAGCGGGATGAGCCATAAACGCTAAACCTCCGGCTTTAACAACCGATAATTTTTGCCTAATTAAATTAACTTCTTTGATATCAGCTCCTGAATTGAATAATTTCCGGGAAATATTAAGCTTTTCATCAAGAGTTACAGGTGGCTTAGGCATCGACAATAAAGCTGAACCACCGCCTGATATCAAAACTATCAAAGTGTCAGTTTCATTTAATGATTTAACCAACTCAATTATATCCCGGGTTACTGACACAGTGTCATTATCTGGCTCATTATTGATACTGGTCTCTACATAATTTATTACACCAGGGACTGTATTATTTAATATATTAAAATTAAAATTATCCTTTGAGCCTCTTGGTATACTAACTATTCCTTTCATCAAGCGATTACCCAGTAGCTCTTCCAAAGCTACTGCCATACCCATCACGGCTTTTCCAAAGCCTACGACGTACACGTTATCTGTCATGGTAATTACTTCATTGTTTATTATTAAATTGTTATTGTTTAGTTTTACCTTTTGAGAGATTATTTTGTGAGGTTTCACTGAGTCTAAAGCTGCCAAGTAAATTTCACTTAGGTTTTTTTTTTCTTCGTGGAAATTTTTTTTTTGCTGGGACATTTTTTTTGGGAGTAATATATTTTTGTTTAATCTAAAAAATAAAATATTTTTTATTAATGAAAATTAATTTAATAGATATTTAATTATTTTAAGAATTTTTTTAATCAACAAATTATGACAAAAAAAATTAGAGTAAAAAATTGACATTTATAAAATTAAAAAAATAAAAAAATGCAATTTTTTAGAAATAATTTTTCGGAGAAAATTTATTTATTAAAAAAAATTGAAAAATGGTCAAGTGACTGCTAACTTTAATTTCATTTGAAATTTATGAAATTTGAAAAAATAAAAAAATGCAAGTTTTTTGAACGACATTAAAATTAGCAGTCACTTGATAATTTTTTAATTTTATTTAACAAATAAATCTTTCCTGAAAAATTATTTTTAAAAAATTGCACTTATAATAATTTATTAAAATTTCTAAATGTCAATTTTTTTTTTCTTATTTATTTTTGCCATAATTTCTTTGTTAAAAAAATTCTAAAAATTAATAAATATCTGCTAAATTAATTCTCGTGTTTTTTAAATAAAATTTGTTTGATAAAAAAAATTAAAAAAATGGTCAATTACCTTTTTATCATAATTTTTTTGTAAAAAAATTATTTAAATTACAATTTTCTAATAATCCAATTACATAAATACTAATACACTTGTTAGATTTCATAGATTTAATTATATTATTTATAAATATAAACTGTAAGTACATAAACTTTTTGAGGTTAATTGGATCATTCCCTACTCTAAATATTATTATGCAATTTTTTTTAGATCTTGATCTTGATATCAGCATTCTAGTGATTACAACTTAATTTTTTATAGTAAGTATGAGAAAAATAAATGTTGAAATGTTGAAAAAGATGGAACTGTCATGGCGGCTTTGATGAATTTTTTAAATTTACAATAGCGCTTCCATAAATTTCAAATTTAAGCGCAGAAATTCTAAAGATAATGATTTTTTTTAATTTTCACATGTGGATTTTTTTTCATAATAATTTTATTGTTTTTATTAATTAAATTAAAACAAAAAAATAGTTTTTTAAAATTGCACTTAAAGTTTTCAAAGAATTTTACAATAAATTACATTCTTTTTTATTTTTTTGTAATAATTTTTTTAATAAAAAAAAAATTATAAAAGTTTTTAAATGTCGGCTAACTTAATGTTCATAAAGTTTTAGAAAAATTTTATAGCAATTAAATTATTAATAAAAAAAATTATTAGAAATTTTTTAAAGAATTTTTCTAATTTGTTAGAAAAATAAAAAAATTTGACAGCTGTCAGCTGACTTCATTATTGTGAATAAAAGACAAAAATGTGATTATTTATTTTTGCCATAATTTCTTTGTTAAAAAAATTCTAAAAATTAATAAATATCTGCTAAATTAATTCTCGTGTTTTTTAAATAAAATTTGTTTGATAAAAAAAATTAAAAAAATGGTCAATTACCTTTTTATCATAATTTTTTTGTAAAAAAATTATTTAAATTACAATTTTCTAATAATCCAATTACATAAATACTAATACACTTGTTAGATTTCATAGATTTAATTATATTATTTATAAATATAAACTGTAAGTACATAAACTTTTTGAGGTTAATTGGATCATTCCCTACTCTAAATATTATTATGCAATTTTTTTTAGATCTTGATCTTGATATCAGCATTCTAGTGATTACAACTTAATTTTTTATAGTAAGTATGAGAAAAATAAATGTTGAAATGTTGAAAAAGATGGAACTGTCATGGCGGCTTTGATGAATTTTTTAAATTTACAATAGCGCTTCCATAAATTTCAAATTTAAGCGCAGAAATTCTAAAGATAATGATTTTTTTTAATTTTCACATGTGGATTTTTTTTCATAATAATTTTATTGTTTTTATTAATTAAATTAAAACAAAAAAATAGTTTTTTAAAATTGCACTTAAAGTTTTCAAAGAATTTTACAATAAATTACATTCTTTTTTATTTTTTTGTAATAATTTTTTTAATAAAAAAAAAATTATAAAAGTTTTTAAATGTCGGCTAACTTAATGTTCATAAAGTTTTAGAAAAATTTTATAGCAATTAAATTATTAATAAAAAAAATTATTAGAAATTTTTTAAAGAATTTTTCTAATTTGTTAGAAAAATAAAAAAATTTGACAGCTGTCAGCTGACTTCATTATTGTGAATAAAAGACAAAAATGTGACATTTAATTTGTCAACTGTCAAAAATATACTCAGTAAATTTATTTCAACTTTTACCATAGTTTGTTTTTATCTTAAAATATTTTAGATAGTAATAAGTTTGTAGAAGATAAAATTTTAAATAAAAAAAGCCGAAGAAAACAACTTGATTCTTGGAATATCTGACTAAGTACTTATAAAATCAAAACGTCAAACTTCATTGAAATTGAAAATAAACAACATCACCGATAGCTTTGAAGTTGCTTAGTTTACGGAAATACGCTAAGTGGCCACCTTTAGGTTATTATTATTAAGTCTATAAAAAATTCAAATAAATTAGCTTCTTCTAACCAGAAAAAAAAATTTAATCCTCCAGTTTTGTTAAAAGAATTTTTTAAATTAAATTCTTATTGAATAAATAACTTTGGACTTCCGTATCTCGTCAGTTATTGTATTCACAAATTTAATTTATTAAAATTGTTCATAGAATTTAAAATACTCAAGACTGTTATGTGTCACTTTTAAACTAAATAGCTTCCAATGCAAAGTTATGGATTTTTTTCTATGGTAATCTAACATTTACAAATAAATGACTTATTATTTTTATAAAATTAAAAAAAATAGGAAAATTAAGCAAGCTGACATCTAAAAAGTTTTTACAATTTTTTTCAATGAAAAAATTATTGTAAAAAAATTAAAATTCACATTAAACTTATTAGCTATCACTTGATAATTTATGACAGTAAAGTTAGCAGACGTCTAAAAATTTTTGATTTATTTTTATTAATTAAATTACAACTAAAAAGATATATATAAAAAATTGCACTTATAGTTTTTCGAGTTTTTTACATGTGAAATTTTTTTTTTCAATTGTTTAATTGAATTTAAAAAAAAAAAAAATTTCTAAAAATTTTTGAATGTCGGCTAACTTTATTTTCATTGATAATTTTTCAATTTTATTTAATAAACAAATTTTTTCTGAAAAATTATTTTTAAAAAATTGTATTTTTAATTTTTTTTAATTTCTACCGGTCAATATTTTTTTTTTATTTTTTTTTGCTGACTTATTTGTTTAAAAAAATTCTAAAAATCATTAAATATCGGATGACACTAAAGTTAGCAGACGTCTAAGAATTTTTGATTTTTTTTTTTTTAAATTAAATTACAACTAAAAAGATATATATAAAAAATTGCACTTATAGTTTTTCGAGTTTTTTACATGTGAAATTTTTTTTTTCAATTGTTTAATTGAATTTAAAAAAAAAAAAAATTTCTAAAAATTTTTGAATGTCGGCTAACTTTATTTTCATTGATAATTTTTCAATTTTATTTAATAAACAAATTTTTTCTGAAAAATTATTTTTAAAAAATTGTATTTTTAATTTTTTTTAATTTCTACCGGTCAATATTTTTTTTTTATTTTTTTTTGCTGACTTATTTGTTTAAAAAAATTCTAAAAATCATTAAATATCGGATGACACTAAAGTTAGCAGACGTCTAAGAATTTTTGATTTTTTTTTTTTTAAATTAAATTACAACTAAAAAGATATATATAAAAAATTGCACTTATAGTTTTTCGAGTTTTTTACATGTGAAATTTTTTTTTTCAATTGTTTAATTGAATTTAAAAAAAAAAAAAATTTCTAAAAATTTTTGAATGTCGGCTAACTTTATTTTCATTGATAATTTTTCAATTTTATTTAATAAACAAATTTTTTCTGAAAAATTATTTTTAAAAAATTGTATTTTTAATTTTTTTTAATTTCTACCGGTCAATATTTTTTTTTTATTTTTTTTTGCTGACTTATTTGTTTAAAAAAATTCTAAAAATCATTAAATATCGGATGACACTAAAGTTAGCAGACGTCTAAGAATTTTTGATTTTTTTTTTTTTAAATTAAATTACAACTAAAAAGATATATATAAAAAATTGCACTTATAGTTTTTCGAGTTTTTTACATGTGAAATTTTTTTTTTCAATTGTTTAATTGAATTTAAAAAAAAAAAAAATTTCTAAAAATTTTTGAATGTCGGCTAACTTTATTTTCATTGATAATTTTTCAATTTTATTTAATAAACAAATTTTTTCTGAAAAATTATTTTTAAAAAATTGTATTTTTAATTTTTTTTAATTTCTACCGGTCAATATTTTTTTTTTATTTTTTTTTGCTGACTTATTTGTTTAAAAAAATTCTAAAAATCATTAAATATCGGATGACACTAAAGTTAGCAGACGTCTAAGAATTTTTGATTTTTTTTTTTTTAAATTAAATTACAACTAAAAAGATATTTCTAAAAAATTGCATAAATAGTTTTTCAAGTTTTTTACATGTGAAATTTTCTTTTTCAATTGTTTAATTGAAATTTTTTCAATAAAAAATTTCTAAAAATTTTGAAATGGCAGCTAACTTTATTTTCAAAATATCGGCTAAATTAATTTTTATAAATGTCACTTGTAACATAATTTAAAAATAAAGTTTTAACTCCACAGAACATCAATAAATTGAAATGTCATCGAAATAAATTACAACAGAACAAAATATTTAATGTAAGTATGAATCATTAAACACGTTAACCGTTAAAACAAACGGTTGTAATTATTTTATATAAAAAGTTAAATAATGTTTGAGTGTGGATGATAAATACAACGGCTGATGAGTCTTCGGATAATTATAGGGCA